ATTATTAAAAAATGCATAATATTTTATATCACAAGTTTAATTTTTCATATATATATATATATATATATCATAAATTATATAGATAGATAGATAGATATGGCCAAGTCGTTTAATTTTGGTTGATTTACAAATGGCCAAAGAAAAACTGATCCAACTTGATCAGGTTGGGAAATTGTTGAACCAAAGATAACCAGAAATACTAGAAAACCGACCAACTCGGTTCAAATTGGTCAGGTTGGTCTGTTTCATCAGTTTGATGAACAACCCTAGCTGAAATTAATTATTATTATTTTTGTTTTTTTAAAAAAATTATTAAACATAGATATAAAATATAAGGGAAAATCTATGATGTGGGAAACATATGGTATCGTAAGAATTATGATCAATCAAAATCCATCCATGATTTTTGGTAAATAGCACCTGATTGGCTACCACTTTATGATACTTTCTGATTGGTCAAAAATTTTGCAAATATATATTTGCCATATCATAGTTTAACCCAAAATATAAATAATTATTAATTATTTAAAAATTAAAAGTATAAAACAATATACTTGATGAATGGATTTTTAGTTGATGGCCATTTTTTTGGCGAAGTACCTCGTCATTTGGTCTGCTTCCAAGTAGTCGATGACTCAGGCCGAAGTAGAGAACTTTGGCTGCCGAGCTGAGTCGAGCTGGGCAGGCTAGGTGGCGAGCCGACTATAGTGCCAATCTACCTATGAAGTGTCGAGTTGACCAGGTGGTGAGCTGCCTGTTAGGTGCCGAGCTGACCAGGTGCAGGGCAGCCTGTGAGATGCCGAGCTGGATTGATGAGCTTCGTTGCTCTTTAGGGACCTGTAAGGAACCAAATGTTAGAGGAGGGTGGCTAACCCGGCGAGGTCACTTTGTTGCTTAAGTCAATACTCTCATAGTAAACTGCGAGCTAAAAATCACAAAGTCTGAGAGATAGAACTTGCTTACTTGCTTTCTCCCCACTTGCCATTAGGGTTGGTGCCTTTATATAGGCCTTGCTCATGTACCATCCCCGAGATCTCCGGGAGGTCGTGTCTAACTGGTCTGAGATTCCTAGAGGTAACCAACATGCATGTTGACCACCCTCCAGATCATTCGGCATGTGGGCCAACTTCCAAGGATCGTGGGAGTGTTTGGATATGCATGCCGAATTCGTCGGCGAGCACGTCTTGCAAGTCGCCAGGTCAGCACATGTGCCAGACCGCCAGGTCACGCCTAGGCCGCTAGGTGGGGCACCATCAACTTGTCTAAGGTAAGTTGTTGCCAAAGTGGTTTCGGGTGTCACTTAGTTGTTCCGAGGTGCCATGTGTCACAATTTGGAGGGCCAAATCCGCCCTCATCATTTGCCCCCCACTCCCAAGCTGAAAGTAACTCGGCGAAGGGAGGAAATTTCTCCTTTTGGCCCAAGATGAATAACTTGATGAGCTCGTAAGCATCGATTCAATTCCTTAGGCTTTGGAAGCGACTCGCAGTTCGCTCCATGATTTTTCCCATGCCGAAGAGGCGAGGAGATCTTCGCTAGTTCGGTATTTTGGCCCTTAGGCTCTAGGAGCGACTCGTAGCCCACTCTCCTTAATCTTGCCCATGCTGAAGAGGCGACTGGGTCTTATATGATATTTTAGCCCTTAGGCTCTAGGAGTGACTCGTAGTCCACTCTCCTTGATCTTGCCTATGCCAAAGAGGCGACTGGGTTTTATGTGGTATCGAGGTATTTGCCAGTTTGGTACTTTAGCGCTATGGCTGCACTGCATCAGCCTCGTGACACCGGTCACCCACTCCTACAATAAGCTACTAGGAGCTCGACCTACGAGGGCAACACTACTGACTTTAGGTCGCCAGCTCGCACGGGAGCCTTGGAAGGCTCGACCAGCAAGGGCGTCCATGTAGTCTGTTGGCCACCAACTCCCACGGAAGCCACGAAGAGCTCATCTTTATAGAGGGGACCTTGCGAAGAGGACTGATGAGGCTTTATCCAAGTTGAAATAAAGTTGGTAGAGTTACTTAGTCTGTTAGCTATCAACTTCCTGCATAGTCTTTGAGTTCATAAAAAATGGAAACTATAAAGCGAGAGCTTTARYTTCTAAAAAGTGAGGACTTAGCTTTCTGGAAGAAGAGGACTTAGCCTTTTAGAGGATGAGAAAGCTTTTTGTAGTGTTTCCCACAAACGACGCTAATTGATGAATCGATTTTTGGTTGATGGCCAATTTTTTGGCTAAGTACCTCGTCATTTGGTCTACTTCCAAGTGGCTGATGACTCAGGCCGAAGTAGAGAATTTTGGCTTCCGAGCTGAGTCGAGCTGGGTAGTCTAGGTGGCGAGCTGACTATAGTGCCAAGCTGCCTATGAGGTGTCGAGCTGACCAGGTGGCAAGCTTTCTGTGAGGTGCCGGGCTAACCAGGTGCAGGGCAGCCTGTGAGATGCCGAGCGGGATTGATGAGCTTCGTTGCTCTTTAGGGACCTGCAAGGAACCAAATGTCAGAGGACCCAGGGTGGCTAACCCAGTGAGGTCGCTCCGATGCTTAAGTCAGTACTCTCATAGTAGACTGCGAGCTAAAAATCACAAAGTCTAAGAGCTAGAACTTGCTTACTTTCTTTCTCCCCACTTGCCATTGGGGTTGATGCCTTTATATAGGCCTTGCTCATGTACCACCCCCCGAGATTTCTGGGAGGTCGTGTCTAACTAGTCTGAGATTCTTGGAGGTAACCGCCATGCATGTTGACCACCCTCCAGATCATTCGGCATGTGGACCAACTTCCAAGGATTGTGGGAGTGTTTGGATATGCATGCCAAATTCGTCAGCAAGCACGTCTTGCAAGTCGCCAGGTCGGCACATGTCCCAGACCGCCAGGTCATGCCTAGGCTGCCAAGTGGGACACCATCAACTTGGCTAAGGTAAGTTGTTGCCAAAGTGGTTCCAGGTGTCACCTACTTGTTCTGAGGTGCCATGTGTCACAATATCATTGGAGGGCCGAATCCATCCTCATCAATACTCTTATATATTTCTATTGATTAGCCTTTACTTAATAAATCTCATACATTGCATGGGTCCCCACTACTCTAAATTCTAAAAGCCATTAGTTAAGTGGTTTGATCTTTGACTCCACAATGTATTATTAGCACAAATTCTCACCCATTCTTACTAACATTTCATTCAGTCATTCCCAAGCATATCTTGTTGCGTGTGCAATTCCGGGCCCACCTATCTTTGTAGTAGGGAGAGTCCTCGTTGAGTCAAGAAATTGGGTCATGTTGAATTGTTGAGTAGTTATGTAGAGTTGTTACATGCGTAATGGTGGAGAAATTCGACTCCGGATCTCCTGTTCAAGAGAACTCTGCCTACATCTACCCACAACACACTATCTCCGTGAATTGAGAACATCTCCCCCTACATAATATTATGTGGGAAAAAGAGATATTCTCCATGTGTGACTGAAATGTTATGTGGGTAGATATGAGATCCGGACTCGAGAAATTCATTAGGAGTAGGATTATTGTTTAAGTGTTTATTTAAATTGTAATTTTCTTCTTAATTAAATTATTTACTACCTTCCTAAATCGTTAAAGTGTTTGGCTTGACGTGTTTCATCAATTATAAGGCTTTTGACGTACAGGCAGCATGGTCAAATATATATATATATATATATTTGGCATGCATATGAAATATAATTCTATTTACTATTGTTAGATAAATGATGGTTTTGTGCTGAGTACGCTGGCCAATTAATGTAAAAGCTAAGGTGGTTTTATGGTTTTTTAATCCCATTTTGAAGATATGGATGTAGAACAGGTTAAGGGTGTCAATGAACCAGTTTTGGATTGGATCTCTGGTCCAAAATCAATTTGGATGGATTGGACGGACCAATAAAATATATTGGATTGAATTAATTCGATCCAAAATATTTATTAGATTGGATTGGACCTGGTTCATCTCTAATAAATTTATAATAGATTAGGTTGGATTAAGCCAATATCTAGTCCATTGATAGAAGATAAGAATATATGTGTCAATGGGCCGAGTTTGGATTGAAACCAATCTAAATTTATCAAAATGAATTTGAACAGATTGGACGGTCCAAACATTGAATTGGACCCGATCCATTTATAATAGACTCACATTGGACTGAATCGGATTGCACCAAATTCAGTCCAATTGACACTCCTAGATCAGGTACCTGATTTTTGAAGAATTTAAACCACATTAAGGGTCTCTTGGTTTTTTTTGGATTTTGAGAGGGGAAAGTTGGTCAATAGGGATTAGATTTCCCACGTAGGGCGAAGTTGCCAACACTTTGATGGGATAAAATTGCCCCTTTTAATAATATCTTTTATAGTTAAAAAGATCATTATCTTATTTACCTAAGAAATAAAAGAGCGTAATAAATGCACTTACCCAAAAAACATTTACCTGAATAAATTTCCCAAAAAGCAAAAGGGCATAAGAAGCAAAAGTTATTAAATGCCTGAGAGTGAAGATAAGAAGAATGCAAAATTCTGATTCACATTTTTTCAGATTTTACTTTGCTTTTCTTCAGGTTTTATTTTACTTCATCTACAACGCCAACAAACAAAACAAGACAAGAATCAAGACAACTGAAAAATCAAAATTTACAATAATCAAATCATTTGTACTCCCATGCTTTTGCACCAGTGCAAATGAAATTGGAGAGTGGTAATGCTGCTTCCATGGTTTCACAAGGGTCTTTTACTTTTAAAAGACTCTTCTTTTTAAATGATATGAAGCTCAGATACAAATTAAAATTAAGCAAGTCAAACTCTACGAGAATAACTAAAGTGCCTCAAGTGATCAAACTCATTAATTCTAATCAAAATTCTTATAAAAGAAAAGTCAAAGTAAATACTAATACCTAAATTCTAAAAGCCAGATAGATATCTGCTTTGATCTTGACTTTTCCTTCCCAATGCCATTAATTAGCATAAATTCTTACGCACCCTTCATTACAAAGACGTCCCTTCATTCCCAAACATCTAGTAAAGATGTTAGCGGCATTGCTGCTCATATTCCTTCTTCTTGATGGTTTTCCTGCGGGAAGTTCCACCTCTCTTAATTCCGGTAATCTCTTCATCTGTTATTGGTATCGAACTATTACAATTGTGATCAGATTTTAGTGTTGAATACTTCTTACATTTAGTTCATTTCTAAGCTGAGTATGGTTTATTTGTTTGCTGACTTGAAAGGTGACGAGAAGAGGTCAGATTTACAGTGGTTTTCTTGGTGCCATGGCGGATCAAGGAAGGAGGTTGCAGGCAAGAAAGGTCACTTTAGATGTGCAAGCAGCATTGTTCATGAAAAGATGGCCGTCCCGTATTGGGTGCCAAGATATACAAAGGCAAGACAAAGGAGGCCAATATTACATAAGCCCCTATTAGAACCACCGGTCACCAATGGTAGAGGTAGTGGTTATGGAAGTGGTGTTGGCTCTCCAATCCTTTCGCCGCCGCCACCGCCGCCTATATATGGTAGTGGTGGTGGTTATAGTTATGGTTATGGTGGTGGTAGTGGTAATGATCACTATAGTTATGGCAATGGTTATGGCGGTGGTGGTAGTGGTAATGGTTATGGTTATGATTATGGCAATGGTGGTGGTGGTGGTGGTTATTTGCTACCACCACCGCCGGCGTAGATATTGGCTTAAGAAGAACGACTTCTTCTATACTTTGTGACACATTTTTAGTTGGTTTCATTCTGCCTTGATCACCAAAGAAAATAATAAATGTTTCTGTATGATTGGATTTATGTTCCCCTCTTTATACAATAAATGTTCGTCTGTGATTTGATTTGATTTGATTTGATTTATGATCATCAAAGAATAAGCAGATTTCCATCCATTACATTCAAAATATGTCTACCTCGGACGAGTCCAAATCTGCTGTACCCCCCAGTGAAGTGGATTGGATAGAGAAGGGAATCAGACTCTAACAGATCCCCTCAGCAAGCTAAACCGGGAGATCTCCTTTTTGCAGTTAAAATGCCACCATGAATACTGAGTTTTTAAAAAGAAACAGATGAATTTAGCCATAGAATTTCAATAATTAGTATTTGTAACACTTCGCCTCCATACTTGAATAACCAAACCATAGTGAAAGGTACGTTTAAGATATCAAAGTATATGCTTAACCCACACCTCATTACAACGGAACATTAAAAATATTTCTCATATTTGTATGTTATCATTCACGGGGAGATGTTACAGCTGTAGTGTCATGTGCGTAGGAGATCAGAATTCTTCCATTAGGCTAGTTTTTAGTGGCATTGCATATCTAGTAACTAAATGGGCTAAAAGCTCATAGTTAAGGATACCTTAGGCCATTAGTTGAATTAACACCCTTTGGTCTTTTCTTTTTGTGGATGAAATATATTGAGGATTTACTTACTAATGCTTCCATGGATGATATTAAGCCTCTTTTTGACCCTATTCCCGAAAGGCTGTCAATTGTGATCCAAACAGGAAAGTGATAAACTGGAAAAATCATTTCTCTATTGAAATAGTGAATGACCATCTCTCACATGACCAAACATCATAAAGTATATTAGTCCATACCAATCATGAAGGGTTTCAATGGACCAATGTCAAATGAATACTTAGGTATCTCAAATCGGCAAATAACCACCTAGGGGTGTTAATGGTTCATCTTGTGAGCATATTTTCCTAATCGAACTGAAACTTTCAGTTAGTAAAATATCCAAACTAAATTAGCCAGTTCCCGGTCAACCAGTTAAGTGGTTAACTGGTTAAGTTGATCAGCCTTTTTTTTTATTTTTAGGGTAGATTGATGAAACCTTTTCTGAAGCTTTTGATATATATTGTTGAAACCTCCCCTGAATTGTAAGTAGACTCCCTTTGTTAGAATCCTCTAACAAGAGGCACAAAGTGCAAATTAAATACCCATGAAATTAATATTAAGGCTGGTTTTTTACAAAATAATAATAATAATAATACAAACTTTATGAACAACAAAAGAAAATAAGAGAATTTAAAAATTGCAGCGCTTTACCTTTTAGTGATTGATATAAAGGGTAAATTTGGAAAATAAATCAATTTCGAAAAAGCGATGGGAATTGGGTTTGGGATACGGATTGATATGAAGAGAAAATCTAGAAAATAAACAATTTGGTCAGAAATAATTGCATAGGTGTTTTAGACATTGTGTTAAATAACTTGTGGATGGTGAGGTAGGGCTACAAGGGAGGTCTACATAAAGGTCGGTAGATAACCGAAGGGTTAGGAAAAGGTTAGAACAAGGTAATAGGAAACTCTGAAGGAAGCAAAATGCTAGATTGCTAGGGCTGTCATAGTGCTCTCAAGGTTATCTCATATGGAGTGCTTCGGGCCTCCCTTATTTATAGAGGGGGTGGAGTAGTTAAAAGAGAGAATAAGGAAGCGATAAAGGGAAACTTTTTTGCCTCAATAAGGCGGTTATAATTGGTTAGACATAAAATAGGTAAGCAATTCAGAGTTTCGTCACATATCCATGGGAATCTCTTAGGATCAAGAATCCCCATTTTCGAAGCCACAGGTGAGCACATTATTACCTACAACCCTTTCTAAAAGATCACCCATAATCATGTGGGATGATGATACCTCTCTAAGTATTTACATGTAGCATCGCAGAGAAACCATATCATTGTTACATTAAGTGTTGCCTTAGTGGCCTCATGCAATGTCAGGTTAGGTAATGAAGTGAATGTGATAGCACGTGAACCCTATCACATTTATAGTATTGGATATTTTTTGCAATATCTCATGATTCATTACCCTTGTGTTGCAGTGTTTGAGTGACATAGGTGCTGCTAGGAAGATCAACAAGTTCATTGTAGGTTTTATAGGGTTTTGTGAGTCATGCAATTCTACGATTTCGATTACCAACTACGCAATTTGTACTGACTCTAGCGATGGATGTAGCATTTTTCATATTGGTTTGGTTGCTCAAATTTTTTGCTTGTTTAGATTTTCATGAGCACCCTTATGTTCAAGTAGACCTATTCATGGGCCGGGTAGCCCAACAAGCTGGCCTAGGCCGACCCGTTCTAAACCGGACTTGAACAAAGTTTTAAGCCCGTGGCCTCAAACTCGAGCTTTCCAAAAAAAGCTTAGCTTGAGCCCAAAGCCCAGCACGATAATATTATATATAGTAAAAAAATATAATATATATTGATTATACATAATATACATTACATAATAATAAAATTAGTAGTGAAAAAGGTATTATATATATAAAAGATATTACAAAATATATAATATTATTAATAATATAAAATATTTGTCTAGATCGAGCTTTGGGCTTTATGCAGGGCCGGGTTCAGCTGGCTAGGGCCTAAACACTTTTTGTTTATAATGAGGAAGCCCAGCCCAAACTCGGCCAGGCCAGACCCATTAACAGGTCTATGCTCAAATGTATGTGTCTGTATAGTTCCCTCTTCTTCTTCTTGGTTTCTTGTGCTCTTTTGACCTGGACCGTACTGGTTGTTCAGACGACCGTCATTCACAAGTTGATTATTTCTTTTACATGGTGTGTGGATATAATCCTCCTTTGTACACTGCCACATCTAGATGATCGTACAATCCACTCCTACTAAAAGAGTTCTGGCGCATTACTATTAAGGGTGTCAATGGACTGGTTTTGGATTAGACCCCGTCTAGTCCAAAATCAATTTGGACGGATTTAACGGACCAATAAGATATATTAGATTGGACCAATTCAGTTTAAAATATTTATTAGATTGGATTGGACCTGATTCGTTCATAACAAATTTGTATTGGATTGGGTTGGATTAAGCCAATATCTGGTCTATTGATATAACATCAGAATATAAGTGTTAATGGACCGGGTTTGAATTAAAACCAATCTAAATCAAAATGAATTTGAAGAAATTGGATGGTTCAGACATTGAATTAGACCAATCCAAATTGGTCTAAAACATTAATTGGATTGAATTGGGCCTGATCCATTTATAATGGACTCACATTCGACTGGATCTGATTGGACCAAATCCAGTCCAATTGACACCCCTAATTACTACCTCTAAAAATAAGATTCAAATTTTGCAAATTCACACCAGAACACAGATTAGACATGTTTTTTTCCTTTTTTTTTCTGTTGAGAGAAGAAAAATTTTTCAGTACTGTTACTTGTCCAAGTCTAGAGCCTTATCTTCATTCTAAAGCAACCGTGTGAGACTTAATTAACAGTCAGTCCACTAGATTACGAAATTTTCAAGTAAAAGGAAACTTCAGTACTGCATATTTACCTTATAAAATTCTACTTAGCAGAAAAATGGTAATGTAAAAACTAAGGTGGTGTTCTGTCCATGGGTCCAATTCTTTTTTTTTTTTTGTTTTTGGTCCTTTCATCCGGATTTTAGGATAGGGATGCAAATCAGGTACCTGATTTGATGAATTTACGCTACATCAAAGGTAATCAAAAGCTCTTTTCAGTACAATTTCATTTGTATTAATACAAATGCAAACCTGATTTGAAATTGCATTAATACAATTTCATTTGTATTTACCTTGTATTTTTCTCTCATACTACTGCACCAGTGCAAATAAAATTGCATTAATTACAAACAAACCAAGCGGCCCGAGCCTAGAAAAATTATCTTTCAGTAAAACAATAAAACCATAGGTTGTGTCACAAGATGCACCACCACCTCAGTACAAAATACAAGGTTTTGCACTCTAAAATATCTGTACTCCTTCCAGACTGAATCTTAAATGATATGAAGTCCAAATACAAATATAAGCAAGTCAAAGTTAAAGAGATGGCCATAAACTACGACAGCATCAAGTGATCAAACTCATCAATTCTGTGTTCTGCAACCTTAACGGGCGTCCAATGACAGAACAAGAAAGTCAAAGTAAACACTAATCAAAATTCTAAAATCCAGATATCAGATTTGATCTTGACTCTCATTCCCAACGGCATTATCATAAATTCATACCAATCCTTCGTTACGAAGACGTCTCAGTGCAAAGCATCTCTCTATCATTTCGAAGCCAAGATGCCCAGTTTCCAGCCGGTGAAGCTGTTGGCCGTATTGCTAGTCATATTTCTTCATTCTGATGGTTTTCCGGCGGGGAGTTCCAGTTTGCTTAATTCTGGTATTCCCTCCCTTCCATTTTAAACGTGTAAATGACTAGATATCTTGTGGTGACAATGTTTTCCATTCTTTTTGCGTAAATATATTCGATCTGTTATTAGTATGGAACTTTCGAATTTGCTACCATTAGCATTAATTGGATACTTCTTTTTTGAGCTGAGTTTTGCTTATTTGTTTGCTGAATTGAAAGGTGATGAAAAGAAATTACAGTGGTTTTCCGGGTGCCATGGCGGATCAAGGAAGGAGGTTGCAGGCAAGAAAGGTCACCTTGGATGTGCAAGCAGCAATGTTCATGAAAAGATAGCAGCCTGGTATCAGGTACCAACAAATAGCAAGGCAAGACGCTGGAGGCCAAACTTAGGATATGGGCACCAACGACCACTCTCACCAGTTGCCAATGTTAGACCTGGTAGTGGTAGTGGTATTGGTATTGGTTACGGAAGTGGTGGTGGTCATCCAATACCTCTGCCTCCGATACATGGTACTGGTGGTGGTAGCGGCAATAGTTACGGTTTTGGTAACAGTTATGGTGGTGGTGGTGGTTATGGTGTTGGTAGCGGCAATAGTTATGGTGGTGGTTATGGTGGTGGTAGCGGCAATAGTTATGGTTCTGGTAACAGTTATGGTGGTGGTGGTGGTGGTAGCAGAAATAGCTATGGTTTTGGTAACAGTTATGGTGGTGG